TCAGTGAAGCATGGTGGTGGTAGTGTCATGGCGTGGGCATGTATGGCTGCCAATGGAACTGGTTCTCTTGGATTTATTGATGATGTGACTGCTGACAAAAGCAGCAGGATGAATTCTGAAGTGTTTCGGGCAATATTACCTGCTCATATTCAGCCAAATGCTTCACAACTCATTTGGACGCCGCTTCACAGTGCAGATGGACAATGACCCAAAGCATACTGCAAAAGCAACCAAAGAGTTTTTAAGGGAAAGAAGTGGAATGTTATGCAATGGCCAAGTCAATCACCTGACCTGAATCTGATTGAGCATGCATTTCACTTGCTGAAGACAAAACTGAAGGGAAAATGCCCCAAGAACGAGCAGGAACTGAAGACAGTTGCAGTAGAGGCCTTGCAGAGCATCACCAGGGATGAAACCCAGCGTCTGGTGATGTCTATACGTTCCAGACTTCAGGCTGTAATTGACTGCAAAGGATTTTCAACCAAGTATTAAAAAGTAAAAGTTTGATTTTTGATTATTATTCTGTCCCATTATTTTTGGTCCCTTAACAAGTGGGAGGCACATATGCAAACTGTTGTAATTCCTACACTGTTCACCTGATTTGGATGTAAATACCCTCAAATTAAAGCTGACAGTCTGCAGTTAAAGCACACCTTGTTCGTTTCATTTCAAATCCATTGTGGTGGTGTATAGAGCCAAAAAAGTTAGAATTGTGTCAATGTCCCAATATTTATGGATCTGACTGTATATGCACAGCAATCTGATAACATGCAGCAATACCATCATTTGACATGTGATTTTGAGGAAAGCTGTAAATCTTGGGTGGATACACAAGTGCTGGTTGACCACTCTTAATTGGGGATCATATGATTCTGGTAAGCCATTACCATTAAGTTTGGTGACATTTGATATCCACATCTACCATTTCTTTCATAATCGTAGAACCCCTGAACTCACAGTTTTGGGCTGGGGTGGGGTTGGAGGCAGACCTGGGCAAGGTTGGGTGGGGCAACTGGTGGAGAGTAAGGTTTTTGCCTGGCTAGTAGGTCTAGACTTGAAATGTTAAGCCCTGGTATACTGTATATATTTTAATATCACCATAAGAAACTTATGATAAAATGTTAAGGGCAGAGCACAATGTAGGAATGAATAGAATAAAAGGAATGAATAAAAGTTTATATATAAGTTGAATTTCTTAAGTAAAACTTGTTTGATAAAGCTTGCTGACATTTGCAGTGTGACACATTATATAGTTTTATGTCAAAAACACAACAAAATACATGTTTGTCCTTTTGAATGTTACAAAGGAACTTTGCCAGTTGTAAAGTTTTCCTGAGCTAGAAAATAACATGTATACTAAGTATAGTGAAACCTTACAAAACATTATAGAAAGAAAACCAAGGACACCATGAGGTTATAACACAAGACCACTTTAATAGGCTTCAACTGAAGATGACAAACAGAGAATAAGAAAGCCAAAGTACACATAAAACAGAGAATGGAATGAAAGCCATTCAAGCTTGCTCCTTTAAAATGAGAAAGCAATGATGAAAAGCTAGATTTTTTTTCTATTTAATGCCATCAGAAAATGAAATAAATTGAGTTCTATACCAGAAAAGATCTAAACAGTCTAGATTAAACCTTTTGAGGTTTAAAATTCTTCAAAGCATGACGGAAAGAAAAGACTTATTCTGGTCAATACATACCAGTGAAAAAGAAACTCTATGAAGAATGTAATAAACCTGCTGGTTTAGATGCTTCTTGGTGTAGGTAACAGATGGCAAGATCGTGAAGTTCATGATCTACAGCTGTTGAATGTCATCTGTATAATTCAAAGTCTCCTGTTAGTTCTAAATATTAGATGGAATTATCCTTGATTTTAGTATTGAGTTATCATTCATTTGATTTAAGGGCATACCTGTTACTTTATTATGTTTCTAGCAACATAACTGGACCTTTGCAGTGAACATGGCCCGCCGCTGATACCATGTGATCGCTGTGACCGATCACAGTGATCACATGACAGTTGTAAACAATGAATGGCTTTGATTCCTGCCATGAATCCTCCAGAGGGCAAGTGGGTAATTATCATCATACGTACTGGATGACAGATAGGGACATAGAGCTGTGCCTGAGTTGATAATTCAAGAGGTGGTGTTTTGTAAATCATCTTTGAGTACAAAATAAACAATACCACTCAGATTAAAGAGTAGGCACTGTGGTATAAGCACAGGATCTCTACTAACAGCACCATAGGTAGTGCTATAAAAATTTCCCTTTAAATAGCAAAACCCATTAAACAACTTGGAATACTATTTGTTCTAAATACATACTTTTTTGGTATAAATGTGCAGCACCCTCTAGTGTGCTACTAGAATAGTGTAGTGCATTATAGGCAAAATCATTGTGTGACTCATAGTAGTTGTGTGCATCATGTGATTAAGGTTGGGTTATTGCAGGTCATCTGGGTGATTCTACACATTGTGGCTCTATCGCCTCTTCTTGACTCTGGAGGACTATAGAACCTTGCAGAGGTCAGTACGAATGAAGGAGTGGAGGGCTAACCTGCATGTTCATGGGGGTCTGGCCAATTCCAGGTCTGGAGGCCCTGGTAGAGTGGTGGACTGGCCTATAAATATGGGAAAGTCAGGCTGACAGGGGAGTTGGGTGGAAGATGGAGTGCTGAGGAGACCATTGGTGTCTAGGAGGGGTCCCCTAGGTCTGGGGAGGGCAGGCCTCTAGGCTGGGCTTGGGCTGGCTTAGGAGGATACATTCTGTGGAGAGGCACAGATGGTATCAGGCAGGGGCGGACTGACAAATAATGGGGCCCCCGGGCAATAGGGGATCATGGGGCCCCTGTGTCCTTGTCCAAACTCAAAAAAGCCTATGAAAAAGGTACCAGGGGCATCTCATGGGGCCCCCTACTGACCCCGGGCCCTCGGGCAGTGCCCGAGTTTCCAAATGGTTAGTCCGCCCCTGGTATCAGGCCTGGAGCAGCAGGGAGCAAAGAGGGTAGTGTGAGTACAGCTGCACACTTGGGATCTACAAGAGGGAAGATTGCCAAATGTAGCAAGCTTTCCAAGGACAGCATTGAGCTAAATCCTTAATCCTTGCCTCGGGAGATCTTCTGAGAATCCAGAAGGGCTGGTAGTGCCTGCAGGCTAGGGATCTGGGAGCAGCTACGTAGGGAAAGAGAAGACATTTCTGCATGTAGCTACGAGAAGGGAAGTGATTTTTGAGGAGCTGCTGGCCTGTAAGGGGCACTTACTACTGATCCGCAATGACTGACTAACAGTCCAAGATCTGATTTGTATATAGGAGGGAAGTGCCCCCCTTCCATTGTTTCAAGCCAAATTGGGCATCCCATAATCCATATTATTATATCAAATTTGAAATCCCCTAATAAGACAACAAAATCAAGTTCTTGGAGTGGTCACTGTCTTTGGATGCAAGTCTGTGTGAGAGATACCTGCTGTCTGGCTGTGCGGAGGGAAGCTTAGGGATACCCACAACACAGCGGCCCTCATGAGGGTAGCACTACAAATGTATAAAGAAGATTATATTATTGCAGCCTATCAAAGAAAACAGACTATTCAAAAGAAAAAAAGATACATAGAAGGGAGTGTACTAACTTCAAAGCAACCAATATGGCAACCAATCAGCTTCTATCTTTCATTTTCAAAAGTTAAGCTGAAGATGAAAGGTGATAGGTTACTATGCATAGCTGCTTCAGATTTGGTCTGCTCCAGTTTTACTAAATTCTTTCCATTGTATTTTTATTTACCTTTATAGAGGAATTCAAAGTATGGATATGTTATACATAGTTGCATTGGTCTGACTTGGACCAATGTAGCTATGTATATACAATACCTGCCCAAAGCCCCTGGAAGCTGGAAATCTCTGAAGCAGACATCGCTACAGTGATATCCACTTGCTTCGAGTCCTGTGCTGAGTAGCTGGCATGCTGCATTCTGAACACAGGAGGTTGCTTGCTTGACATGGACACCATTCAGATAATGCCTTGTATTTTCTGAATGATTGCATAGTGTTTTCTGATTGACGAGGTGGAGAGTGTGGTGTCAAAGCCCCACCTCTCCACCTTGAGTGTGTTCTGAATGCAGCAGGGCAGTCAGACAGAATGAAACTAAGTGAAAGTGTAGATTGCTAGAGTAGGGATATCTACTTTAGTAATTATCCCCTTCCAGGGAAATCAGCCAGGCATGGTATATACATAGGGGCAGATTTACTGAAACTGGTGCGCAGGGAATCTGGTGCAGCTATGCATAGTAACCAATCAGCTTCCAGGTTTTATTGGCAAAGCTTAATTGAACAAGCTGAAGTTAGAAGCTGATTGGTTACTCTGCACAGCTGTACTGCGTGCTCCAGTTTTATTAAATCTCTACTATAGTTACATTGGTCCATAATGGACCAATCTAATTATGTATAAAATATCCATACCTGGAATTCATCTTTAACCTCCCTAGCGGTATGATTATGTCCATATTTCCGTGCTCAAAGCGGTACATTTTTTTGCATGGAAATATGTATTTTTTTTATTGTAGGCTTGTAATTTTTAGGAATAACTCACTGAAATCTGTCTAAACAAGAGTCTAGTAAACATCCCGGGTAGGATAAAACTTGAAACACGAAATCATAAATGATAATTTAATAAATAATCATTAAAAATAATAATATAATAAAAATAAATTTAATTCAATAATATAATCAAACCAAAAACACTGAAATTTGAAATATAGCGCCAAGTTTGCACATCACTGAGCAAAGTCGCAAAATCGTTTTCAGTGTCTGATGATGAATTTCCCCACAAATCATTATCACTCAATTCCGCAAGTGGTTCTGATTTACTATGGCTGTTCTCTAGCTGGTCTAAAACTGCTTTTGACCTAAAGGGATGCTTTTTGGATGCCATGGACTTTTCTAAGTTTCCAGGCAGAAAGAACAGTTAAAATGCAGGCAGGGCGCAGGACACTAGGGACAAAATGTATGTGAAATGGTTTGATACAGTAATGTGTTACTTATGTGATTTTAGTGAATGTCACTTTTTGTCATTTTCAAATTTCCCGCCGTTCCGTCCCCCGTATGTCCTGCCGCTCGCAGGGGACGGAACCCAGATGACACATGCCAGCATCCGCCGGATTACATTGCCGGGGCACTGCAGGAGGGACATCGTGGGAGCGCAGGACAAGGTAAGTGATCGAGGAATCATAGAGCAGCGCCGCATGGTAAGCCCGAGTGTAGGGTTACCGCTTGTGGTACTGAAACTTTACCCCGAGCTACAATTGGGAATACTGCCAGGGAGGCTACGAAACCAAATATTTTAGGAATAGCTACATTTTTGGGATACAAATTTTTTGCCATTTAGCTGAGCCAGTAAGAAAACACAATATCATATTTACATGCAAGAAATGATTTCCAAACCTAAATTAGTTGTAAAACACAGATGAAGAAACACAAATATAATATATGCCTTGTGTATGATATATTTTCCCTGTAATTATATAAAATTACTTCCCATTAGATCTGCAAAATTCTATTATTTTGGTTATGGAAATGAATTTTAAATGTATTTTTCACTTAAAAAGTAATTTCATTAAGCACCATCATTTGTATTCCTTCCATTGTTTCAGAGATCACCAGAAGAGGCAATCTGATTGCTGACCATTTACAGATCAGCTAACATTAGGTTTAACCATTTATTAAAATGTTTCTAAATCCCTCTTAATTGATATTACTTCCTATCATAAGTGCATTTTAACACCCCACAGAGATGTTCTTCAGATATCAAGTGTTTTGTAGACTTGTGTTGTTGCTTTTAGCTTTAAAATCAGGCATCCTGTGAGTTGTTTAATGAATGTCTGTGTTTGAAAAACGCAAGTCTCTCTGAATAATGATTTCTGAGAATGGAAAAACTGAAGAAATGACTGAACACTGTATTTAGCCAATACATTTTACTGTTGACTAAATAGCTTCTTGACAAAGCAGTTATTTATATTAAAGCCATAAAATATACAGTTACCGTTTCTTTTTTTATTATATAATAGTGTTTCTCTTTATGTCTACAATGTGAATAAAACAATGTAAATAACTTATAGAAGAAGTCAATAGCGTAGAGTTCACATTGGTTGTAAGAAACTCTTAACTCTTTTTCTGCTGATTCTGCTCATTTAAAAGCAGAATACTACAATTCACAGGTGTTTTATAAAGTGATTACTTATTTATCTGTTACAGAGCCTCTACCTCCCACAAGTGTCTGGTCACTTCAGCACCTGACAATAAAGGATCCCGATAATCTGGGATACTAGCAATAGACCTGGTTCATGGCTCTCTACAATCTCCTTCAACACTGATTGCCTTGCAAGTGTAATACTTCAATGTTCACATATGTTGTCCCAGAGGCACTAGAAGCAATTGGAGATCATCTCCATTAGTCTTGAGAAGAGAGGCAATGTCTGTTAACACCATAATGCTTCTTAGCTCCCATATGACAACCAGCCAACAGGGAAGGAATGCGGCAGGAAGTTAACGCCTGGAAGCCATCAGTTGACTTCATGAACACCTGATTAATACGCAAGCTAATCAGAGGGCAATAAGGATCATAAATAAAATTAGATTAAGTAAATCACACACTGCAAATAAAATAAACGCATGACATAGGAACACTTAAAATATGTATAGACCTAATTAAAGTTGAACTTCAGTCACAAGTCAAGGGTTCAGAAATTTTGTGAATTTATGTAATGGATTCAGAATGCTATTGCTGAGTGCAAAACAGGCAGAGTCTAAGAAAAAAAAAATCTGTGTTAGTGTTTACTAGAAAAAACTGAATGAACCATGTATTGGTGCAACGACAAAGCTCTTTAAGATAGTGAAGAACAAAATGAACTTGCATCCAATTGCTTAAAATAATGACTGGAATGTGGCCATAATTACTAAAAAAATGCATGCTGACACATTGCACAGCTCCCAAAACACCACCCAGTCCATGACACTCCTCTTTGGGTGGGCATTGAAGTGGTAGACTGCCACTCGCCTATAGTTGCAAACCTCTTATGGCTCCGTCCCCATGGAAATCACAGCCCACTTTCTTTCTTTATGGGACTGACATAAATTTACTCTTGCACTTCATTTGTCTCGCAATCCATAACTCTCCTTTCTAAAAAACCCTTTGTTCTCTCCAGCCTTCTATTCCCCTGCCTCCTTCCATGCATGGCAAGACTCAAATTTAGTTAGACTTCATAGGCTGACTACTGTCTCAGCTTTCAAATGCTTTCCATCCCTTCAGGAATCACACAGCCTTCCTAATTCAGAATTTTTCAGATACTTTCAGCGCAAACACTTTTATTCCCCTTACTTCATCTCAACTTCTACCCTTTTTGTTTACCCAAGATTAACTTTCATGCTCCAAACTACTCCATTTTGCTCCAAATTGTGTTACACTTTTAGACTTTACAATCACAATGCTATTTAGAGCTTCCCTATATTTTATCACATATTATATTTGTAATTAATCTTTTAGGCAGGTGTTTTGGGAATGTCTGCTGCATAGTGGTTATTGATCATGGAAAAAATCATAGAAAAAGTTTTTTTTGGGACTTTTAAGGTACAGCCATCTATTTATAAGCATATATCCACAATCCATCTTTTTTTTACAACTTAAAAACAGTTACAAAATTATTTTTGGGGGCTGGCATACAGCTTCATTAAATATTTATGTATTCAAGAATCTCCACCTAGGTTCCCACACACAATAAAATATATTCTTGTGTTACAACTCAAAAATAAAAATATATTCTTGTGTTACAAAACCATAACTGGATGTTACACAATTGCTGGAAGAACCAGATCTTTATGTTTGGTTTAGCTGATTGCTGGCTACTAATTAGAATACCTAACTTTTCTGTGGTCTGGTGATGTAGCAAGTGCATGGAAGTACCTAAAATTTGCAAATTTATGTTACTGTATGTTAGATATATTTATCTGGTCACAGGTTCAATTTAAATGTTATACCACCATGATAATGCTTATAGACATGATAAAGGTCTATACTGAAGCACAGCTTATTTTCTGCAGTCATAAAACTAATTAGAATGAAAACAGTTTATTAAACATGAACTACTTTATAAAAATATATACATAAGATGAAAACAGGTGTTTCTAGTAACTAAACATTGGCAAGGTAATGTGTATTCCTAATTATTAGCAGGAAAAGATTTGCAGTAATTAACATATTTTTTTAAATTGTGCACTGTATTGTGATTCATGAACATAAACCATCACAAATAAATTAACATTAATTATTAAAACAAGCTGTTACAACAGTACTTTCTATTTCTAAAGGTTTATAGCCTGTTCGCATCCAAAATATTTTATATCAATTTTTTGATAGAGTTAATGAGAGTTAAAATTTCTAACCCTTTTCCATTCTGCTAAAATGTGTTTCTAATTTTGGTGCAAAATATTCTGGTTTATAGGCTTGGATTAGAGCAAAAGGTTTCCAGGTTCATCTCCTACAAACCATTCTGCCGCTATGCCTGTGTGCTAGGCACTGTTAAGTAGATTGATCCTTGCCCAAAAGAGACTATATTGTTCTGGCACTGTCAGGCAGTGATTAGTTACAGGCAGTGCTGGTATAGTGTTAGCATGGTGGCACTCAAGAGAACCAGAGCTGGTAGAGTGAGACAAAAAGCTTCTCCTTTCTGAGGCAAGTATAACAGAATATCAATGTTGGAACATTCTTTTCCCACTGACACCAATGCTGTGGTATTCTTAGTCCCAACTAACACTGATGTAAGGGCACCCTACTGCCACTGAGAACATTGTAAGAAGCATCTTACTACCACTGACACCAATAAAAGGAAACATTATTCCTGTCACTGGCTACCAATGTAAAGGCCTCTCTTTCTCCCACTGATCTAAAGGGCCATTTAACCCCCTAACTACCAGTGTAAGGGGCAGTACTCTATACCAACTCCTGACTACTGTATACTGTACTGTGCACTGTGCTGAACATTACATACTCCTAACAATGGCACTCTGTGTGTTGTGTTGTACATTACATATTCCTGACCCAGGCACAATATTGGCTATTTTGTACAGCACATACTTCTGACTGTTGCACTTTGTACATTGCACTGTACTGTTGTCAAGAAAACTAAATTTATGCCTGTACTCAAAGAAATGCATTTGCATGCAGAAACGTGCACAGAACTGTGCATGGAATCAGGGCTGTGCCCACACCTACCCATGTATGTGCACACAAGCATTATGGGGGTTCATGAACATGCATATTTAAATGGACTTTGGTGCCCAGTGGCCTATTTAAAGTACTACAAGACTCAGGATAATTGTTCAGTGGTCGCCAGCTCCTTCATCCTGTGACCTAATCCTGTGTTTACGTTTGAGTTCTGACCCAGCTTATCTGACTGCACTTGCTCCTGAAACTCTGTTTGTGACTCTGGCTTGTGACTAGACCTTGCATCTTGCCTGCTGTTTCAATACCTTCTCTGCCCACCTGATACTGACCTTGGCCTGGCTCTGATCCTGCTTCCTGATTCTGTACCTCTGCTGCCTGGTTGTTGGCAACTTCTGCCTGCCTGATCACGTATCTGAGATCCTGCACCTACCAGCCTGTCTGCTGCACAGCTGTCAGCTCCCCATCTACTACAAGACATTCCAGCCTGGATCTCCTACCGGCACCTGTGCCACTCTGCACCCTGCTATATCCTGTCATCAACCCCAGGGGAAATGGGACAAGAGGTGTAAGGGAAGGCCTTTCATCAACTTGACCTCAACCAGGTATGTGATTCACTCCTGAATCTTATAGTATGTTGGCTACAATGTGCACCCCTTTTATAACATTCACTAAGACACCAAAAATATTTGGCAAGATTTGTGAAGCACAACTCATACAATGTTTATAATTAAAATCACAAAACCTTTATTCGAAAATTGTAGCTTTAATAACCAATAAAATCATATTGACATTATCCCCATTTGCCATATTGAATCCATTATCTCAATACAAATGTTTAGAAGATGGTGAACCCAACCACTTCAACTTTGTCTTCAGAAACGTGCCAACAAAAGATTTGTTGCTCAATGCATTTCTTGGATAACAATCCAGTTCCTCAGGAGCAGAAGAGTGGAATAGTTGAAAAAAGATTTTCTAAACATTATAAAAATACAAACATTAAGATTAAATACCAACATTTTTGACACACAAAATAATCCTATTTTTCAATACCTATATGTTGGCTATGAGTACCTGAAGCCTGTGGGGGCAGATGTAAACAAACTGGCCTAA